TGTCTTGTGCTTTCTGTATTGTAATGCTTAGCACAACAGGGCATGTTCTAAGCTTCCTTTGAATTGTTAGGGCAGTTGCTATAACAAGAGATTAGCAAATAAGACACTGGTACCTTGACAACTATTAACCAGACTATAATCTGCGCTAAAATAATGAACTACATACATGAACTATATTAACAACAGCTTTGAAACAGAAAATGGTTTCATTCCAATGGCATAAATGGGAAGGTATAATTTTTACATTCCATCAATAAGGATTTAGACTAAACTATCCCATTAGAAGGAATACTCAAGGGATATTCAGAGTTTCTATCTCATTGTATGCAACTCCTTTTAAACCCTGAAAACCTACTCCTGAAGATAAAGATGCTCCATAAACGGAGAGCTTGATGCAGTTGAAACAGGAGTCCATCTCCATTTGCACAAACATTTTCCACATAAACTAAATATTGTTATGAAAGCAGCTTACCTACTTTGGTTTAGTTCCTAATGGTTTTATTTATGAACTCTACAGCATTACTTAAAAGTGGTTTCACAGTTAGGACTATTGCGGAGCTAAATTACAATTTCTTTGAAATACCTCAAATGAAATAGCAAAAATTGTACTGAAATTTATAGGATTCTATAGAATGTGGCAAAATGTAAGCTGGACTTTGCTACCATTAGATGGATTCAGAGCTGATTGAACGACTGTATTCACTGAATGAATTTTGGCCAGGATCATGTTTCTTCTAAAGGAGGTTGTCTGTGACTGGCTGTGGTGGGTTCCTTCAAGCTTATAATTCCTGTTTTAAAAGCAGTGGAAACCATAATCAAGGTCTGTCCAATTCCAAGTAGTGTGGGGTTTCAGACCTACCCAGAGTAAGATGCCCTGATAAAAACAACCCATATCCTGATTATGATTTTGCTGGAATGCTGCAATATGCTGACCAGCCTTTAGAAATTATCTGGAAGTTGCAGCTTCTTCAGAATCAATGAGCCAAACTAGCAGCAAAGCAAACCCACTATTTTTGTCGTGTTTATTAAGAAATATTTCTATGATTATGCAAGATTTTATTCCCATTAATAAGCAGGCTTATACTTAAAATTTGGTGCAAAATTTATTCCTCAAGCTGTAGAAGTGATAAATTTTTCTTTTGAAGGGAGACACAATGTCATGCAAACGGTTGTTTGGTACAATAAAAAATATAAACTATTAATAAAGTGTTAACTGGCAGAACCACCTTCCTAAAAAAAAAAACTTGACCGAGGAATACAGGAGATGTAACAACAATGCAAGATCATATTAATGTATAAGGACTTACCTCTTTTATAATGTTGCTTACTTCATCCACAATAAATGCAGTCTTTTTTTTAAAAAAAAGCAGAAATATTTACATTACATTATGCAAAACTGAAAATAGTGTCACGGCAATAAATAGTCACTCATTCAATTGACATAAGAGCATAGATCCCAGAGCACTTAGATCTTATTTTGACTTAACAGTCATTATCACTTTCCTAGCCTCTCACAAAGAAGCAAGGAGCAAGATGCTGCATATTTCCTTAAGTATATAAATGACAGATATGCCAACGTAATAATCAACATGACAATGATATTCCGGAAGCCCTGGTTTCCCCCCCCCCCAAAAAAAAATCATAGAGCTAGGATGAGGGTAGAGCTGAGAGGGTGTTTGATCTGCCATGGGGTGAGGGGTGGGGAATACTCTTGTCTTTAGTCATGTTTTTATGGACTGTTCTTGCTGGCTAGAATCATTTTATGAGATAGGCAGCCATATAAGTCATATAAATAAAAATTTAAAAAATGCATAATAAGTGCAGACATTAATCACAGAAAAAGAGCTATTTTCTCCTCCAGGATATTGTTATTTTCTGCAGGCATTACGGCTGCAACCTAACAGGTTCCCTGCATGCCTAACAGAGACATGGCTTGACTCATTGGGACAGTGAGCTATTTTTATTTTTTAATAAAACTTTGAATTCTTAACATGAGCCAAAAGCAACTCTCTCATCTGATGATAGCTGCGCAGAATGATATATATATATATAAAAAGGTAAAGGTTCCCCTCACACAAAGGTGCTAATCGTTCCCGACTCTAGGGGTCAGTTCTCATCTCCATTTCAAAGCCGAAGAGCCAGCACTGTCTGAAGATGTCTCCATGGTCATGTAGCTGGCATGACTGAACGCCAAATTTTTCTGCTTGCATTTTTACATGCTTTCCAACTTTTAGGTTAGCAGAATCTGGGACAAGTAATGGGAGCTCACTCCGTTACAAGGCGCTAGGGATTCAAACCACCAAACTGCCGACTGACAAGCTCAGTGTCACAGCCATTGAGCCCCCTCCTCTCTTTATGATAATACATAGAGATATTATATGTATGTATGTATGTATGTATGTATGTATGTAAATAAATAAATAATATAGGGAGGGAGGGAGCGAGGGAGAGAGAGAGGGAGGCAGACTAGACTAGAATAAGAGTTGGAAGGGACCTTGGAGGTCTACTAGTCCAACCCCCTGCTAACGAACCCATCGCCCCCGCATTAATCCGGGAAAGAGCAGCGCGGCCATGAAAGGCCGCTGGGGCGTGAACGAACGACATTCCCCGCCGCCTTTTGGAAGGCGAGAAAAGCCCAGGCGTGGGTGCGTGGGGAAGAGGACCAACAATGGGGAAGGGGCGTGTCTCCACCGGAGGGGCTACCCGGAACCTCTCTTTCTCCAAAGCTCCGCTACAGCCAGGCCTGCGACGTCCCGGGACGAAGGTCTTCCTTTTTGCTCCGGAGACGCGTTTACCTCCTCGGCAGACTGGAGCTCATCCATCGTCCTCCTCCTTCTGACTCAGCTCGGCTCCAACCCCCGCGCGTTCGTTGGCCGCTACGCGACGAACTCCCTCCCTCCTCCTCTTTTCTTCTGCGGTTGCGCACTGCGGTCGACGCGTTCAGCCAATCACTGGACGCAGACAGGCAGTCCCGACCGGGGAGGTGGGGGGGTTGCTGGGCTACGCTTTCGGCTCGCGGGGCCCTTTCAGCTTCCACCGCTTCCCCTTTCCGGATTGTGACGTGTCGTCTCACGTGGGAGGTTGCAGGCTCTGCTTGCAACCGCCAGATAGGAGGAGATGATGGATGCTTCTTCCTTAGTTGATATTCCAAGTCCTCGTGTTTCCAAGTACAGGGGTCTTTAAGACTTGTGGACTTCAACTCCCAGAATTCCTCAGCCAGAAGTTGGCGGAGGAATTCTGGGAATTGAAGTCCACAAGTCTTAAAAGTGGTCAAGTTTGGAGACCCCTGAAGTAGGATCTCCTGTTTGGGCGTGGGATTGGACTAGAGGACCTACAAGGTCCCTCCCAACTCTCTTAATCTGTATCTGTAAAGTGGAAGGACGGCGGGTGCGCAGCAGTGTTTTTCCAAACTCGGCATCTTAAAGATGGGCGGGTTCCAACGCTTTGGGAGCTGAAATCCACCCGTCTGAAATTTGCCAAGTTTGAAAAAAACACCCATGTTCAGCAATCGCAAGAAGGGGCGAAGCAAACCCAACGCATTCGTGGGCAAAAAGGGTAACGGGTTTAAGAGATCTGGAGACCTGGAAATCTGGAGCATAATTTTCACTGCTGCATTTCGCCGCGCTCCTTAAGACTAACGCTCACAGCAGATGGCAGCATCTGTCGTCTGAAATGATCCCGAGAAAGGTAAATAGAAGCAGACCAGATGGATACTTAAGTGTGGTGGGGGACGGGACCTAACAGGAGATCCCAGGGCTGTGGAAGAGATGAGGAGTTAAAGTCTCTCTCACGTGCATACACATCTAGGAAGAAAACAATATTGTATGCCTCTATCCAAATGGTAACTAGGAGTTGGTTCTAAGTCAAGGATCTTCCATATTTATTTTTAGATGATGTCTAAATAGGAAGCTACCATGTATTGGGCATCCATAATAATAACTGTTCCTTTAGTGACGTCAAAAATAATCAGCCCCATTTATGGAATTATCAGTGTATAGCTGCTTGAGAGTTGTATCTGTTCCAGATCCGAGCCAGTTATGCCAGCTTTGTGCCCTCCAGACATATATTGACTTATTGACTTACAACTCCCATAGTCAATGATAATGAGGTGCATTGTTACAGATGTTAAAAACACTGTAGTCCACAACTGAGACGAGCCAGATTGATGCAATTGCTAAAGCATCTAGCTAGAAATTGGGAGACCGTGAGTTCTAGTAAGTCCTTTAGCATGAAGTAGCTGGGTGACCTTGGGCTAGTCACTCTCTTTCAGCCCTAGGGAAGAGGCAAGGGCAAGCCACCTCTGCAAAAATCTTGACAAGAAAAAATTAGGGACTTGTCCAGGTAGTTGTCAGGAGTCAATACTCTAGTTTTGTGATTGTTGAATTTAATCTAGTTTTTATAAGCATCAGATTAGATGCTCCTCTTCCTGTTTGCCATCTTGTCTTATCAGTTTGCTTTCTGTTTAGAGACACTCATGGTTGGTGTATGCAGCACCATTCTTAGCTCCTTGTTCCATTTCTGGACAACATGTATCTGCTACTAAGTGTTATAAAATTATTCAGAGCTCAGCAAACTGAAGAGCAAAACAGATCTTAAAAAGTCCCTACTGTGAAGGTGATTTATTTCCTAGAAGTAACAATTCAGTCCATTAAGCAGGTTAAACTGTGCCTCTATTTTATCAAGTAACAGGCAAATTTTTTTAAAACAAGTCTTTCAGCAAAACTAAGGCAGAGCAGTGAAATGTCAGAGCTCAGTTGAAGGAAGGCAAACAGACAGACCAAAATAAATCTTTTAGAAAAGATAATAGCAATAGCACTTAGACTTATATACCACTTCATAGTGTTTTGCAGCCCTCTAAGTGATTTACAGAGTCAGCATATTACCCCCAACAATCTGGGTCCCCATCTTACTGACCTTGGAAGGATGAAAGGCTGAGTCAACCTTGAGCCTAATGAGATTCGATCTGCCAACTGCTGGCAGCTGGTGATCAGCAGAAGTAGCTTGCAGTACTGCACTCTAACCACTGCACCACTGCTCAGAAAGGAGTCAGCAATAGAACTGAACATTATGTGTGTGTGTGTGTGTGGTATGTGTGTGAATGGTTTTCTTCAGCCTGACAAAATCTCTGAGCAGTGCTAAACGGGGAGGGGGATGGCAGGGAGGAGGAGAAAAGAGTCTTGTTGAGAACTGAAAATCGCATTGAGAGAAAAGCAACTGCTACATGTATGTATGGTAGATGAGAGGTTAAGGAAAGAGGATTGGACAATCGTTCCTTCAGTTTATCAGTAATGAGAGCCTTCACGATGGTAACACCTGGCAAAGGGCTGCTGGAAGAGGCCATAATAGCATCTGGAACCTTATGGCCTAGAAGTGGAGAAGTGGAAAAGGATGAAATGCTTGCTAGCAAGGTGAAGAAATGGCAAGGAAGAGGCCTCTGGAAGTCATAAGTCACCTAGAATCAAGAGAGCTGAATCTCTAGCAGCTGCTACAGTCTTCAAGATGCAAGGAAGAACACTATCTCTCCTCTACTGGAATATATTTAATCTCCATCCCTGTGAGTACATGGAAAGTTCTAGAGTGGAAGAGCAGTAGTCTAGGCAGAGCTAAATGCAAAAAAACTTTAAGTAGGCACATGTCATGGGAAACAATAGTGAGTATATTGTGATGACAGTGTATTTTAGGAAGATCCCATCTACGGCATTCTACCACTTCTTACTATATTCGGCAGACAGTATCAGAAGTAGAATCTTCCACGTTTTTGTATTCTATAATCTCCCAGGATTTAAAATGGACGACTGACATGAGAATCATCATTTAAAATGTACAACAAAGAATATTCTTCTTGTGTCAACTTAGGAAGTTCAGCTTGCCCCAGGAGATATTGCATATTTATAGAGGAATTGAGTCAATCATTTGTATTTCTGCAACTGTCTAGTTTAGTATAGCAACTAAACAGGATATTAGGTACAGGCTCCAGCAGATAGGACTGTACAAAAAAACCATTGCAACCAGCCTGCCTTCCATAGAAGACCTGTATATTGCATGGGTCAGAAGGAGGAATGAGAAAATACCTACTGCCCCTCGCATCCTGGACATAAACTGCTTCAACTCCTCCCCTCAGGACATTGCTATAGGGCATTACATGCCCAAACAACAGAGGGATAGTTTTCCCTCGTACCATCAATCTGCTGAATATCTAATCTTCACAGTACTGTCTATTCACCCTTGTGTTGCTGTATTATTATTATTATTATTATTATACAATTGTATCACAGTGGCCAGTT